GAGGGTCCGGACTACTTCGCTAAAGCCAACCAAGGGCATGCCGGCTGGCTGTAGGTCCTTTTTCCCGAGCTCCATAAGCTTGAATGCTTCTTCCAAGATTATATCGATCGAGCTCCCCAAGTTGACCAGAATTTTTTTTACCTCAAAATCATTAATGGTTAATTTCACAAACAGAGTGCCATCGTGCAGATATTGTATACCACACATGTCATCTTCAGTGAAATAAATTATTTCTTCTCTACGGGGGCACTTTGGCGGATTGTCATTTTCACGTTCAAGGTCACATACTGAAGTTCTTCCTACCGAGGTGGTACATCCTGTTACTATACCCCCCGGTTATCATGTTAATAACTCCCCGGATGACCCGCTTTGGTGGTTGTTGGTTTCAGGGGGTCTGGTCTCTCTCTTGCTCCCTATTGGTTTGAGGTGCTTCCCTGTTGTTCAGTAGGTTGGCCTTCTTCTTCTCTCTTGATGAACTACTTGAGGTACCCGCGGTGGATCAATTCCTCAATCTCGTCTTTAAGGTTCCTATAGTTCTTTGTATCATGACCTATGTCATGGTGGAAGTGGCGGTATTTATTTGGGTTTTTGTTAGTTGGGTCACCCTTCATCCTGGGCGGCCATCTTACATACTCTGTTGTTTTTATTTGCATTAATATTTCGCCCCTTTTTGTATTTAGGGCGATATAAGTCTTATTATACATAGGAGGGGTTTTGGATCATTGGCCTGATCCTGAACCCTGATGGGGGGACTTGCTCTTCCTTCTTGGTAACTTACTTCGCCAGTTGTGAGGTGACTGACTTCTTTAGGGCGACTTGCTTCTTCACCTTGACTTGCTGCTTCCTACTTCTTCTGTTCGCTTCCTTTTTCCAAACAAATCTGACCATGATCCCTGTGCCTCTTCTGCTTTTATAAATTTGTCAGCCTCAGCAAGAAATTTCTCCATAGAAGTTGGTGGGTTCAGTTCATTTCCCAATACAAGTCGGGGTGATGGATGCCATTTACTATTCTTGTGAGTTGTACAACCAGGTCACGATCGGGGATTTGTAGATGTTCTAAGTTGAACCTTTTAATGTATTCACGGAGTGCCTTATTAGGTCGTTGGACGACATTCAATAGGCAGGTCGCAGATTTACAGTGCCTCTTACTGGTTGCAAAATGAATGGTAAACTGCATTAATGCTTGAAAGCTATCGGCATGGTCCATAGGGTCTGTTGTTCCATTATAGGTTTCAAGGCTAGGTGCCCTAAAGTTCTTTGGTTGCGGGGCCATAAGTATCTCGGGGGCCAGTGGTGAGGTCAGAGATATGAGTCACCCTGAAGTGGTGCCTGATTGACTGACTACTTTTTTGTCAATCATGCTCCCAGATGGAGAGAGCTGACTTTTCTTTGAGGCGCAGTGAGCACACCAACGATGCATTCTTTTTGAGCCTTCGGAAGAGCTAGCGGCTTCAGTCCCTATAGGCACGGTTGCCCAGCTTTCTACCGGAGTTGATTTTTGTTCTAATCAAGAACTTGGTTCTCTACCGGGTGCTGGTTAAGGTTTTGGTCGGAAATCAAGTTTGAGACTTCATTTCAGATCTGGATGGGGACCCAAGTTGAGGCCGGGTTATGGTTCAGTCTGGCATTTTGCTGTTGTAGCCAAGGTTGTTGTACTTGGTGATTCTGAGGCTGCTGCAGTGGGGTTTATTGTGTCTACTGTTGTGGTTGCTGCTACCTCCCCCCCATTAGTGTGGCGAACTTGTCTTCCCAGGCTCTTATCTGGTTCCTCATTCTCCGTGCACATTGCACTAGGTCATAGAACTGGTGCACATTGACACCAGTGGGAGCTACGACGAGCTCAATCACAGGAGGAGGCGCATTCACATGAGATGATGCGACGGTCGGGTTCACTGTGGGCTAGATGCCTGGTAGAGTAAAAGGTACTTCAATCTACCCAATGGTCACTAAGGGCACTTCTTGAATCATTTCGAGTTGTTCGTAGCCCCCACCGACTTGGTTATTGTTGTTGTTAGAGGGTTGATTGCTTGATGATGCCATGTATATAAGTGCAAAGTGTTTAGAAGGTGAGAACATAGCTTTAAGTAGCATTTCCCACAGATGGCACCAATTGATGGTGCGCGATTTGGTGGCTCTCACGTGTCTGGTGACTCGGACGCCGGATCGGATGCTTTCCTTGTCGATGGCCGAGATGAGTTGGGCCGAGCTAGGACTAGCTGAGCTATGCTGTTCAGCAAGAGAAAGAGTTAGAGTTCCCGGGTTGTTTGTACCCGGAGTGGGCACTCCGATGCTTGAAGTCAGCGAGATGTTCTTTAGGAGTTCTTTTAAGATCGAGAGGGCAAGAACTCGGTCGTGCATAGCTCTTCAAGTGGAAATGAGCCATTTATATAGGCATGAGTGGTTAGAGACTTCTTACAACGGGTCTCATGTTCTCACGAAGTCATTTCCGTCAAGTTGGGAGAGTAATGATGCCGGTTACGTAAGCTACGCGGGGGTTGAGGTCCATCCGATTAACTTAGTTGCATGCGGTGTTGGTAGGTCGACCTAACGGTCGACTCATCAATGCTTCAAGGATCCCAGACTGATAACGGATCTATGTGACAAGTCAGCGAGCATGCCTTGTAGATCGCCTATTGGTACTTCTCGTAGCTCGGCCTGTTCCGAAGTAGGTCGCCCCTAGCTTGGAGTCCTATTAGCTCGGCCAAGCCGAGGTATTCCAAGTCGGCCTATGCGAGGTGCTACGAGCCAACTTGTCGAGGTGATTTGCTTACTTAGCACCAAGGTGTCTTCTTGGATGCCACGTGTCGTAATGTCATAAGGATGACCAAATTTCCCCTCATCAATATGCATTTAATGGTTTAAGATAAGTGAGGCCCAACAAGTGGACCTTGAAAGACAATCTTGTAAGGTAGTGGAATGAGATCCTTGAAACCCAAATCATTGATCTCATGAGACTAGATCAAGGCCTTGTCACTTAGGAGCTCACCTCAAGTTGTCATGCATATTGACATGCATCGCTCGCATAGGCCTTGAGTTGATCATCGTTTTAGGGAAATAAGAATTGGTTGTACCTAAGAACCATATTGACATGCATCGCTCCTTGAGGTGCACCCACAATGTTTTATAACAACCTTATGGTCCCCTTTGGATATATGTCCTTTAGGGAAAGAAAGGCAGGATCTTTCGACCTAGAATATTCTAGAATGTGCATTCCCATGCACACAACACTCCCTCACTTCTATATAGGGTGAACTTGTCCCCAATTAGTGATCTTTCAACCATTTCCCAATCCATCTTTAGTCCTTCAACACTTAGCCTTTTCGTTAATAGATTCAATCACTTTTAACCCTCTCACCAATATACTTTCCCAAACCCTAGTGGCAATCTATACTCTATTTCTAAGACTCACAAATCATCCTTATTAGAGATATGGAGCTCATTTTTATTAGAGATGTTAAGTTCAAGATTTGGATTAAGTCCTTATCCAATTAAGAAATAGCTCTATAAATAGGGATTAGATGGAGGGGCAAGTCATTCAATCTCTCAACTCTTTCTTTCTCTATTTTTGTTCTCGCTTGCACTCAAACCCGTAGTTTGAAGCAGCCTTGGTGAAGGCTGATTCTCATCACTCCTCTATTGTGTTTTTGAAGAAAAACTTCAAAGAACATTAGGTTCACATAGCTGCATCAATCCCAAATAGTTAGAGTCTAATTCGGCTTGAAAGGTGTTGCTGAATTGACTTCATACATACAACTACACCATCTTCATTTGGAGGTTGATTTAAATATAATATTGGACGTGAACTACCACTTTGGGAGCTGCATATTGTGGACTTCGTATCAAGTATGATTAATTTATAATCTGATTTCAAATCTAGTTCAAGTTTAGTGCAAGATCAATTCGGAAATTCAGATTTTAAAACACTAACAAACCAATTCTCAAGTTGGGCTGAAAATATTTTTAATTCCGTCCAGCAATTGTAACAAGTTCAGCCATGTTTAGTCATGCTTTCAATCCTTCCAATAGGTACAGGTAGGTTAAAATTGCAAAATCCATGTATTCCTAATTTTAAAATCTTGGAACATTCTCAAGGGAGACCGGATTCAATCCTCACAAAATGGTGTTAACACCAACCTCAAGGCCACTTGCAGCTATGCATTTGGAACATCTCCCCATGAATAAAAACATACAAGTATAGAGATATTCCTAATACATTGTTGCAAATGGCTGTGAAGACAGTGTGAGCACATTTTTTGTGAGGACTGAATCTGAGTGAGTATTTCCATTGGTACAAAATGTTTTTGGCGATCGGCCTCTAGTATACAACAACTCTTAGCCTTTGTGTCGTATGCACTCACAGTCCAAAGCAGCGAACCTGTTACATATTCCCAAAATCCTTTCAGGACCGGGGTAATTATTCAATCAAGGCAGCAACTTGAAATGATTCATCAATCTTCATGCACAATTATTTGATAATCATGCACTTAATCCATCACAGATTTGTCATAAACCATCTTTACGCAATATGGACTAACGTGTCAAGCAGGGAGAGATGTAAAAGGCTAAAACCGGAGAAAAGTTTGGCTATCCACAGTTTTAAAATTGGCTTTCTACGTTGAGAGAAATTATTAAAATCGTCATATTAGGAAAAGTATTTGAAGGTTTCCGAGGGGCAGGAAGGAAACACTAACGACTAACAACCCTCTCCGTCGTGTCCGGCCCTTCCTCTTAAGCCACACATTTGATAACAAAAATAACTACAATTTACTCTATTTGTCTATCTCCATTGTTATAAAACCAGTCCCATAAACAATTCTCAAAAAGTAGAGCGTAGGGAGATCACAGAAACAACAGTCGGGTTCACAACAGGAAGAAGAATCATCCCTACAGCTCTCCTGTGTTAAAGCGAATTTTTCTGAAGCTGAGAGCTGTAAGAATAAGGGATCATAAACAAAGAAAGATCTCCCCAACTCTTCAGAGATATTGTAATTTCATCAAATATGCAGAACAATGAAGGGACAAATAAGAGAATCGCTATCATTAGTGCTTCTTCCTTGATCCTTGTAGCCATGGTGGTGGCAGTCACGGTCGGCGTCAATCAGCACCCGACCGCCGGGTCCGACGGAACAAAGACTGTCAGCAACGATGATGAGCAGATACAGACCTCCATGAAGGCAATCAAGGCTATATGTCAACCCACCGACTACAAAGAAACATGCATCAAGAGCCTCTCCTCTGCTGCCGGAAACACCACTGATCCCAAGGACCTCGTCAAAATTGCGTTCAAGATCGCCACGAAACAGATCAAAGAGGCTGTCAATCGCTCGGTCGTGCTAAAGGAATTGGAGAAGGATCCAAGGGCATCAAAGGCTCTTGCAAACTGCCGTGAGTTAATGGACTATGCTATTGACGAACTCAATTCCTCTTTTGATGAGCTCGGTTCCATTGACATCGACGACATCGATGATGCACTCGAGAATCTCAAGATCTGGCTTAGCGCTTCCCTCACATACCAGGAAACATGCTTGGACGGATTTCAGAACACCACTGGAAATGCCGGAGAGTCCATGAGAAAAGCATTGAAGACAGCTGGTGAACTCACTCAGAATGGCCTCGCCATGGTTACTGAGGTAGCCTCCATTCTTACCTCTTTGCAGATGCCTTCTAAGCGTCGACTTCTTTCTTCCGAGCAGCAATCGCAATGTCCCTTCGCCATGGAGGATGAATTCCCTACCTGGACGTCTGCTGCAAAACGGAGACTCCTAGCAGCTTCTCGGGCTAACATCAAACCTAATATAACCGTTGCCAAAGATGGAAGTGGCAAATACAAGACCATCAGTGAAGCACTACGTCATGTCCCCAAGAATTCAAATGAGACTTTTGTCATACACATCAAGGCCGGAGTTTATCACGAGCAAGTGCAAATCAACCGGAGCATGACCCACCTGATGATAATCGGAGATGGTCCCACAAAGACCAAAATCACCGGGAATAAAAACTTCGTTGACGGAACCCCGACATTCAAGACTGCAACAGTTGGTACGTACGCACAAATTTATTAAATTTTACCTTATTCCCATCTTTGTTTCTTCTGTTTATTGATTTCATCATGCATACAGCCGTGATCGGAGATGGGTTCATGGCCAAGGACATCGGATTTGAGAATAGCGCCGGACCGGAAAAGCATCAGGCCGTGGCATTGCGAGTCCAGTCAGACATGTCCATTTTCTACAACTGTCAAATCGATGGGTATCAAGACACTCTCTATGCTCACACCCACCGCCAGTTCTATCGTAATTGCACCATCTCTGGGACAATCGATTTCATCTTTGGAAACTCCGCAGTTGTTCTCCAGAAATGCAGAATTGTGGTGAGGAAACCACTGGAAAATCAGCAGAACATTGTTACAGCCCATGGCAGGAAAGACAGACGCGAGCCCACTGCTATTATCCTTCAAAGTTGTCGCATCGTCGCTGACCCCTTGTTGTTCCCAGTAAGGAACACGACACGGTCATACCTCGGTCGCCCATGGAAGGAGTACTCCAGAACCATAATCATGCAAACCCTAATTGATGACTTGATCAATCCAGATGGGTGGCTCCCATGGAGCGGCGACTTTGCTCTCAAGACTTGTTTCTACGCTGAATACAATAACAGAGGCCCAGGAGCTGTCCTTACCCAGAGAGTGAAGTGGCGTGGTATCAAGACTTCCATCATGACCCCTGAGAAAGCTCAACAGTTCACGGCTGGAAGATTCATCCGGGGTGATAGTTGGATCAAGCCAACAGGAGTGCCCTACGATTCTGGCTTATCATCCATGTAAAGCGCTGCATTTGAGTTTTTAATTGATATCTGATCAAATGTATGGAATTAATTAAACAAACATATATATAATAAAGCACTGCTCTCAGCTTCTTCAGACACGCACATATATTTTAGCTTTTTCAACTATAAGGGATAAATAAAATTTGACCCAAATATTAGTTCTTATTTTTTGAAAAGTCCAATAGGTTGGTTTCATTATGTTTGATTTTATCTCATTTAATGGGTGTTTGATTGATTAATCAATTACATAATTGAACACACCTACAAATGCAATTTGGAAAATGGTTTTAAAGTTCCCACTAAATTTCTTTTTTTTTCTTTGTGTGTGTGTGTTTTTGAGTCTTGCCCCACATTAGAAAATTATAAAACTTGCTTTGGGATTTTAAGCACGAGCTTACTTATACTCCTTGGAAATATAAAAGGTAAGTATAGGGGCCTAGTACCGCACAGCGCATGCACATGCATGTGCATGAACGTCCGACAGATGCGCTTTAGAGGTGTACTTTGTTTACATTTTGCTCACACCCATGTTAAGGAACTATGCTTTTAAATGATACAGAGGTACGTTAAGGTCACAGGTGATGTTAAGGTCACAGGTGATGTGGGATGAGACGATATTGGTTGTAGTTAACAAAATTTGGTCTCTTAACATCATTCTTTTTTAATCTTTTCAAGTGGGAATAATCATTGCCAAACTTTTATCCATTTGGAAGAGTTACAAGAAGAAACTTCTACATAAGGCAGAAGAATTTACCTTGGAGCAAATCTAGCAATACCTTCATATTGAAGAAGAGTATCGAATTAGAGATAATAGGGATAAATCCTTGGCTAGTATGTTCAACTCCAAAGTAAACTTCATGGAAAATGGATCGAAGAAGATTGTCCTTGCATTGCAAGTGAAGAAGGACATAAACTTCGAGAAGAATAACAATAAAAAGAAATGATCCTACTATGGTTATGAAAAGAAGGGACATTATCAAGTCTACTAACATTGAAAAGGTGGAAGCAAGCTTGCGAATATGGTGAAAGACTAACTAGTGACCATGATCACTGAAATAAATGTGGCAGAATCGTGTGAAATTGAAAACCAAACGTGTAGTGACCATGATCACTACAAATGGAAAACCAAACATGTACCAAAGTTATTGGAAATGGTAGTGTGAAATTGAACTTTACGTATGAGAAGACACTAACTTTCTTAAATGTTTTACTAGTTCTTGATATAAGAAAAAACTTGGTCTTAGTAAATCTTGTTTGCAAAAGGGGATTCAAGGTAGTCTGTAAGTCTGACAAATTGATCTTATCTAAGAATAGGATGTTCATTGGAAAGGGACATATATGTTGTAATGGGATATTCAAATTAAGTATTAGTAAAGATAAGAATTCTAATTATATTGTTGATTCTTTTTCTTTATGGAATAATAGATTATCACACCTAAATTTTAAATCCATAAAGAACATAGGTAAAGTTGGTTTAATCAATTATATCAATGAAATAGATGATAAATGTGAAGTTTGTGTAAAATCTAAAATGGTTAAGAAGCCTTTCCCAAGTGTTTCCATTTTGATATCTATGAATGGTGTGTTAACTAAGGTAAAAGATACTTTATAACTTTTGTTGGTGAATTCTCAAGATACACCTATCTTTACCTTATGAAAACTAAGGGTGAAGTTTGTGACTTGTTAAAATAGTATAAAACTGAAGTTGAAAATCAATTAGAAAAGAAAATTAAAATCCTTAGAAGTGATAGGGTGCCAAGAATTTCAAGAATGTGTTTAATTCCTTATGTGAAGAATTCAAAATAATACATTAGGCCCAGTTTGGAAGGAGTACAAATACACACAAAATAATACAAAATGCAAGGTTTTGCACTCTACATATTTGTATTTGTACTCCTTTCAAATTGAGCTTTAATGTTCTACTCCTTGTATATCTTAATAGAATGGTCTATACAATAGAAAAAAAATAGAATTCTCATAGAAATGATAAACCAAATGTTAATGAATGCTAATACACCCTTGAATTTGGAGGGGGGGAGCACTTTAAACTTCTTATCATTTACATAACATAATTGTTTTTAAAATTAATAATAAATGTCCATATGAATTATCCAAAGGGAGAAAACCTAATTTAGCATACCTAACAGTGTAGAGATATTTAGCATACTATAGAATTCTAAACCCTAAAAGAATTGAGTTAAGATTTGGAGAAAGGAAAAGTATGTTTATTGGACATGTAGAACATAGCAAGGTTTATAAACTTTTAGATTCGAAATCCAATATAATAATTTAAATAAGAGGTTAAATTCTTTGAAAATAAACTATGTTCTGAATCTATAAAAAAATGATAGAGAACTTAAAAAAAAAACTCAAATTTCAAAACCAATTTGTAATAATGAAACTGAAAGAGGAAATAAAGTTGCTACAAAAAGTTAAGAGACAAAGAAAAAAGAAACACTTAGGTTCTGATTTTATTTCTATCAAATCAATTGTTTTTCTAGTTGACACTAATAGAAAAAAGGTGTTAAACAAGATATCCATCATATTAAACATTGAAAGTGAATTTAAAACCTATAATGAACACATAACCTTTATAGATGTTGTCTTATGGGAGAAATTCAAGAGAAGTAGATATTATTTTGATTATCAAAGTTAAGAAACATAATTGGGTTATGCATTTAGCCAATCACATCATCTTTAGAATATACTTAAGAAATTCAAACATCTAGGATTTAAGGAATATAACACGTTATTGGTTCTAGTATAAAACTAATGGAAAATTCTAGAAGAGGAGTTGCAATACTTGAATATGCTATTGCAATAGGAACTCTAATGTATGCTATACTTTGTATCAGACCTAATATTGTATATATAGTGTGTAAGTTAAATAGGTTTACATGTAATCCTAGTGTAAAGTATTAGAAGGCAACTGAGAGAGTCTTAAGATATTGTTTATAAGGATTTCAGACATTGTTTATTCTATTACAATTATCTAATTGTACTAGATGGGTCATGCAAGTTAGATTACTGATAACTCTCTGATAGAATTGACGCTTCGCTTAAAGTGATCGGGGTTAAGCCGCGTGGCGATACCCGCGAAAAACAAAGGACTATTCGCTTTTTGGGGTGGGCACGCATCCATACGGGGAGAATTCTTCAGCGGACTAAAATCTAGTGGATGGGGTTCAATATTCATGAAAAACCAGGTTTGAAATGATCCATGTTACGGAACCAAGACACTGYTGGGTTAAGGGCCTCCAACGCCTATAAATAGAAGCTTCTTTCAGTCTCTATTTGGCAAAGGGAGACGGGGCCGAACTTAGAAGTCGGCAAGAAAGAGCTTTGAGTAGCCATGGATATCRCTAGAAGACTTGAGAGAATTGAGCAAGAAATACGTCAAGTGGAAAACGAGAATCTCCAACGGGAGCAAATGCTGGGTGCGTTTTGGGAGCATATGTCGAGAGACCGGGCTCCCTAATGGAATGTTTAACCGATCCATTCCGGATCGATCGAATTGGTATGGAAGTTGTAACATGGGAAAACCACGGAAAACACGACTTATTTGAATAACCCGGTGACCTACCAATTGTAGAAGTAGGATCTTTGGCAAGCAATAAGCACTTAAATAATACAATTCGAGTGTACCATCTTCTTTCTCATTTCGAGGAAAAGGTTCGRGAGGAAAAGGAAACAACGGAGGGATCCGAATCGGACCTAAATGGGAATGACATGAAAAGTCTTTTTCAAAACCTATCATTAAGGGCGTTACGACGATATACGAGAGGAATGGATAAAAACTCGTGATTGGTGTGGAGGGGAAGATCTGTTTATGAAATAGTTCAAGAAAGAGTCGTCTCATTTCCTTACTTCTTCGTTCCTTCTAATTCATTCACTTCAAGGCTGGTTCTGAACGCCGCRTAACATCATCTTCAACCAACCTCCACCGTACGTACCTTTCGGTGCGGCCACTAAAGAATTGCTTATACACTAAACAACTGCTTATATATGCTTAGTAAAAGACTGACTTTCATTAGGCCAGCATGAAACTAAGAAAGAGAGATGTRCCTAAGGCGGCATGCAAGCAAACTGTGCACGCTAAGAGAAGAGGCGCAATTACTACCACAAGAAAGCCGCTCCGCAGGCCCGTCACTTCATTCGTACCTTCTTGACTTAGGCTTGCAACTGAACGGAGATAATAAGTCTATTACTAGATGGATTTTCACCCGTGGTGGGGGTGCAATATCTTAGGCATATAAGAGACAGAGTTATATATCTCACTCGACTATGGAATTCGAATTTATAACCTTGTTGGTTATTATTAGATATAAAATTATGGCATAGCCCTATGCCTTAAATTTTTATTCTTTGGTAATAATAAAACAACTTTATCAAGAGCGTACAATAAAATTTACAATGGAAAGTCCAGATATACAAGTATGAGACATAAATATGTTACGTAATTAATTTAGGTTAAAATTATCAATATAACATATGTAAAGTCAAGTAAAAACTCGATTGATCCTCTTACCAAAGGATTGTCTAGATAGTTGGTAAAATTAACAAATAAAGATATAGGATTAAAACCCTTAATTAGTCACCAATAATGGTAACCTAACTTGAAATAAAAGACAATAGTCTTGGATTTATAGGGTAACAATAAGTTACTACGATGTGACTATTAAAATGAACATTGAGAGTTTGTCATTGTAATACAAATAAAAACAATGATGTTTGTTATGACAAAAGATTGGATTAAACTCTTAATGAAGTTTTATAATGTATTAAGTAATGAAACACATAATAGAATTTCACCTATATAAACATAAAAATGGTGCCTCTACTCTTGAAATTTAGATTTTACTTTTAAGATCATTCACAAATTAAGAAAGCAGCACATGACTATAATAATGGTAAACAAATTTGAAAATTTTAAAGATACATGACATTTTTATGTGTATAAGTATTTCTAGCTTATTTTAAGAGTAACTAGATTAAGGC